TCCCATTTGTGATTCCCTCCTGCTACTGTGTTTCCTCACTGCCTGTGTTTCTAGGGAAAAGAAAGAAAGGCCAACAAATTTGCTGCAACCTGTTGATAGCACGTGAATTTTTCTCTAAATCAGAAACATCTGTTACTCTGAAGGGCATCATGCATCTTATTGAAGGTAAAACTGAAAGGCATTTTCCACAGAGTGGGTTTTGCAAATGAAAAACATTTCGATACACCCAAAGCATCAGGACTAGAATGAGAGTCCTTAGGAAAGATGAGAAGTTTAGCAACATCTAGCAAATGCCATGCATAAAGTCAGCGCCCAAATGTTATGGGCTTTTGGATAGATCAATAGTATTTAGGGAACTTCTTAATGTAGGAATAGTAAAGTTCTTTTTTAGAGAAGTCTTATGTCTTCTGTCTGCTTTAAATGTGATTGGAAATTTTGCATTGGTTTACCCATGAAATAGTTCAAAGCCGGTTCATATAAATTATATCAGCCTTTATCAAAGGTAGCCATCCTACATCTGGTAAGGGAAAAAAGTTGTGTATTTTATTACATCTTCCACACTGGCCATTTAAAACTAAAGACAAATTCTCTCTCTCTTGAGAGAATTAACTTTTCTGTTTGTTATGGCTTAATGTTTCTGGCTAATATCAATAGAAGGAAGTACATTTTCCAAATTCACTAATGGCATTTTCTGTTTAAACTTCAATATCCAAAGCTGAAGATTTTCTGCTTTCATCTTGGTTACTAGTACATAAAGTTAATTTTGCAGTTCTATCAAGGGAGCCGGGCTATTCACAATAGCTCACTCAAGGCAAGTCATCTTATTTTTTTAAAAGTTGAAATTAATCATAGATGTTGATAAACTCAGAAATTTAATTCATGTTTCTTACATGGGCTAATCTGTCATTATTGTTATTAGCTGGTATTAAGTCTATTAGCCATAACATTGGGAAAGGAGTAGAAAATGTAGTAACCGACAGCTCGAATCATTAACCAGAGATAATTTGAGAATCAGATTATTTCAAAATTCATGTCCTATGTAACTGCATTGAGAACTGCGTATTTTTCACTGGTAAATGTATTTTTCTGACAATACATTTGCAAATGGTCCCACTATCTCTACTGTGCTTTGTTCAGACACTTTTTTGAATGGATGTTTCTTGGAATGTATTATGTTTTTTACTTTATTCTTTCATTAGCACTGACACCAAAAAGGTGGCTTAAGAAATGAATTTGACAAGGCTCTTCCAAATAACTTTCACAGACTATGTGGCTGCATCTTATTTTTTCACTATCACTACCACAACTATATTATTATTAAGCAAATACAGTATTTTTCTTTGGTGGAGATGAAGTTTTCTTGAAGTCTGTTGTAAAATTAAAGCTAAAGCATATGTATTGCATTAAATATAATATGCACACAGTACTTTTCTGGGTACTACACACAAATTGAGACCTCCTCTTTCAGTTTTTGCATAAGATTGCATGAACCTGACTGGGTTTTGGTTGGCTTTTTAAATTTAAATGATCAAGAAACAAAGAAGACAACATTTAAAAAATATATTGTTTCTAATTGCGGGGATTAACTTATATTTTTGCCCCTTGAAAATGATTTGCATGGTTTTATTTTATTACACTAGCCAAGAGACTTTGTTTACTTTTAAGCAGTATTAAAATTCTAATGTTAGTCTCTTATTAATAGTATTTCATATAAAAAATTTTAAAAGTTGCTGGCATTATGAATTGATTTACTGTACATCAGTCTTTTTCAAGTTAAGAGTAATGACACTGTTTTCGTAAGTGTTGCCCTTACTTACCCTACTTGTAATCAGAATTGCTATAGCAGCCCAAGGTGGGTCAGTAGAAGAGATCAGAGAAGAAATCTTGGAAAGAGCTGTAATAGGTGCCATAAAAAACAAACCAAAAAAAGTACTTTGGTTCTTGGTGACCACAGCTGCCTCCAAATACATAACTAATTCAGCACTTATTTTAAAATGAATTTAATACACCAAGTTAGCAGTTTTTAATTTTAAAATACATGTGAAATGGGACTCTGTCTTGTCTCCAAAGCAGTCATCTAAAATCCACACCCCCATAATTAGATGAGTTATAATGGAGAAGTTATTGCACCCACACAAAAGGGTGTCGTTTTTCTCCAAAGGTATCAAAAGCTAGAAAGCCATACCCTTCTCAAAGTAAAACACAATGTGCTAGAAAAGAATAGTATAAGAAGAGACATAATCACCAAGTTAAACAATATGACAAATTTGATTTAACTATTATCAGGGAATAATGTTAGAGGCTTGAATTCCATCATAACCAATATGATCATTCTTATCTCCATATCTGCAGTGTTAGCATCTAGGATATAGAGTTTCTTCATAATGAACGCTGACAGCTATGTTTCTCCAGGGAGTAAATATATATGCCCTTGCTAATGAGCATAAGTTTGCATTCTTTTTTTTCCTTGCTTCCCGCTCCTATAGTCTTATACAATTAACCATTCTAAGAAGTCACCTAATAGATCCTGGTTTAAGGGATATTTGTGTATGTTTGAGTGTTTCTAGTATGGTGCTTGTAGGATGTTTGTAAGTTTGAAAGTTAGTTTTTAAGTGCAAAGCTTATGTGTATCACTTGGGACAAATATCATTTTTAAGGAAAGAGAGTTTTCTGAGATGGCATTGAATGAGTGAAAGTTAAAGTAGAATACGAAGGCAAGTCTTGAACAAAGCAGTCCTCTGTCACATCTGACTATCCCAGGGAAAGGACATGAAAAAGCTAGAAAGTGTTTTGAAAACTCTTGTGCCTACCTTTTGAACTGGGATGCTATTCCCAAAGTAAAGAATATTTACTTCAGCAACTTCTGTTAGTTAAGATTCATTCATTTATTAATTCATCAGTTATATATTGAGTACCTGCTATGAACCAGGCATTATTCTGGATGTTTAGGAAACACTGGTAAAAACCCAAAATCCCTACTTTTACGGAACTTAAGAATTCTAGTACAATCACCTTACTTATTAAAAGTTAAGAAAGATTTTGTGAGGCAAACATAGCCAAGAGCTACAAATAATGTAAATACTATATAAAAAATACATAATTTCAAAGAAATAACATTTAGGCTAGTTTTAACAAAGCTAAAGATAATATTGTTTTTAGAGCCTTCTAAGATAAGTTTATGTAGCTTTTAAATGATACTGAGTCAATAATATTCAGCTTCCAAGTTTGGTGAACTAATTTCAGGTTATGTGTTTGCTATACTCACTGAGAAATTAAACACCTTATTTGATTTATATTAAAAAAAAAACCATACTTAAGCAGTTTTAAACTTATTTATTAAAGTTAGATTGGGTATATAAAGAACGTAAAGTTACCTAAAAGGTAAAAACCTGTCAAACCTGTTATCAGACTCTGAATTGTTATATTCATATATATCTTATACATTATATATGTTACATTCATATAACTCTGAATTGTTATATTTTATAAAGCTATTATAACACTTTAATACCTTATTGTTGGCATGTTAGCACCCTTTCCCCATGTCTTGTCCATGAATAAAATAGTCTTGCTATTCCTTGGCTGTTAGGACCACCTGACTCACCTCAGAGCAGACTTTTTATTGACTATTTGGAGAGCCAGCCAGTAGGTCACACAGAGACCTGGAGTCAGGTTCAGGCTCCCGAATAGAAATAACACCGCCCCCCCAAATCTGGCTTTTAATGCCTTCCATCCAGTTGTTTTACTTTATATCACCCCCCTTTTTTAAATAATTAATTTTCTAAGCCTTACCATCACAAAACTATAAAATTCCCCTTTCCTAAAAGGCCTTTTAATAAGTGCCACCTACCTAACACATTCATGGGCCACTTTCCTGAACCGTCTGGTATATGATTTATGAATTTACTTGTTTTACTATGAGGATTAGCAAGTAAAATTAAGACTACCACAACCCTAAAAAAGTCCCACAAAACTAAAATGATCTTGCATCAAAAACAAATATAACTCTTCACTGTTTGGGATTATTCATACATTTGTTGTCCCTACATTGATGTCCTGCTTCTCTGTGGATATATATATGCATAGCTGAAGTTGACTGCCTGTTGCAGAACTTCACATTGTAGCACTTACAGCTTTCCTTAAAACTCAGCAGAGAGGCCTGAGCTAATATGAATGAGTTAATATTAAATATGAATAAGCTAATGTGCATATTCTGTCCATATGGGCACAGCCAGTGTTGTAGGATGTAGGGAAAGGGCATGGGATTGCATAGGGTACTCTTGGGTCTCAGCTTCATCTGTAAAAGAGTGGGTTAGATTAGAGAATTTCTATTGTGTCTTCCAGTTCTAAAATATCAGTAATGCAAATGGCATAACACTGATTCCTATACCAAAGCAACTTACTTTGTAACAAATAACTTTGATAGATAAAAATGTAACAGCCATGGTGTTCATGTACCTTCTCTATGGTTAGAACCAGACACTAACCCTAAACCTGAAAGGACAGAGTGCTCTGAGGACCAGGGGTTTCTAGAGTTGGAAGCGAATGCTAGTCCCACATATTTCATATAATGAATTAGCTGGGAGCTAAGCTTTGCCAGCTGGTCCAACTCAGACCTTAGTGTGGCAATATTGGGTTCAACTCTCCAAATCAATTTCAAGGCTTTGTGAAAATAACCTCTCTTATTCAAGGATATGTTTAGTGGTTCAATTCAACAAATATTTAATGAGCATTCCTAAATGTAAAAGATTAGTGTTAGCTTCTAGGGCACTAGAGACATTGCCTGCCCGCCCTCTCACCTTCAAGGATGAACTCTTGCAGGACCGTCATCTCAATCATTGTGGTAACCCCACCCGACACCTTGTGTAGTACCTGGATCATGGTAGGCATTAGAAATGGATTTGAACCAACTAGACACAGTCCCTGTCCTCAACGGAGTTCCCAACCCAGTGACATAGATAAGACCATAGTTGTTTTAAGAAAATTCATCTTTCACACAGTTTTTTTTTTGATACATGTATTTATTATGCTTTAAAAAGCAACACTACCTGATTTCATTTAAAATAAATGTTTCCCAATTTCAGAATACTTACAACTCCTAGTTTTAAGATTAGATTCACTTTGGGAAATTTTGGAAGCAAATACATTCATAGCTGTGTAATCCCCAGGAAGAGTCTAAATCCACCATCAGGTCATTCAGTCCCTGCCAGACAAAGCATCCGATGGTCAATAGCTAATCCAGCTCTGTAGCTAAAGGGCAGAGTAGGGCAGCAGTGGGGTTCAGCATATTACCAAGGATCAGACCAGCAGAACCAGACCAGCAAAAACAACAGTGTATACAAAGCTTTAAATTAACATGACCATATAGAGCTCTCATGATACAGACAAAGCACATATGATCCTAAAGCCAAAACAAAAAGATCTTTGGAGTTGCTGATGGCAGCAGTTAACAGCAGAGTAACAAGCATTTAAACCAAATGTACTCATGATCACCAGCCAACAGCAAACAGCCGAGCAGGAACCAGCGCATAGTCATAAATAACATCAGCGGTAAATTAGGGCACATTTAACTCAACGACAAAGATTTCACAGAACAGTTTTGATCTGAGAAGAGATGAAAACTTTGTTCCCAAAGAATAGTTAGAACCTCTCTTTATTAGAGAAAAGCCTCAAAATCATTGGTAATCTTCAAGCCACACAGTTCAACTATCTTAATGTTTCATTTTAATTACACAAAACAAGGTGCTGTTTAAACAGAGTTATCTCAATTGCTTTCAATTAAAATGTGTCTACCCTGTAATATCTTTGGGGATAATGCTGCTCCTGTGTAGCATCTTGCAAATGCTACCTGTCTGCACGGCTTGACAGGTGTGTGGGGAAGGACGCAGCAGCAGGGCTGACCGCCCACCCACCGTCCTCCGCACGGAAGCTCAGACGCAGGAACAGCTTTGTGCCTGATGCAGTGGAGTGAGGAACACTGGCCTTGGCTTCACCAGAGAGGTGATGTGGGTAAAGGGAGGGCAAGGCTGAAGCCACTGCCTTAGACTGGGGGCAAAAATCAAAGCACCTGGAGGCTGCTGGATGAGTAAGGTGCCATCAGGCATCATAAAGCTTGAAAGCAGCAGTTTGTGCTGATAGGAAAAAAAATAAGGAAATTTCTATATGTAGTAACAATTAGCATTCACATAGTTGAGAATTTTGCTTATTTTACTAAACACTGCTTCAGAGAAGTCCGTGTGTGTGTGTGTGTGTGTGTGTGTGTGTGTGTGTGTGTGTGTGTGTGCTTTATATCAGAAATCCTCACTAACATACCCCTTTACCTCTTTAAGGTATGATAGGATAAAATATATGTGCAATTCCTAGCAAATCCTGTTCTTTAAGTTTTGAAGCCCCTTTTACCTACTTTGTAAATTAATTCTGAATTACCTCCCCATGACCAAGAAATAATGGGTCACAATTTCAAATGAAATGGCCTTTTCTTACTATTAAAAGAGCCCACCAAGAATTATATAGTAGAGAATCAGAAGAAATCTGGAGTGATCCTTTGGTCTCCTCCAGGGAGGACAGATATCTTGATTCAGACTTTTAATGACAGACTTAAAAACAAATGTTATTTGTAGCAGTTCTCATACTATCAGAATAACTTTGGTAGCTTAGAGCATTTCTGAATTTCTCTTTATCCTAGAAGCTAAAAAATGTTATCAAAGAGCTACAGTAGCACATCTCTTCATTTTTTAGACTGATAAGTTTGACTAATTTACACTTAGCTTAGTGATTTTTGTCTCTGGTTCATTTTCTGTAGACAAATGGCAAAGTTATAGCTCTGATGCCAGAAACAGGAGGCATTTTCTGACTTACTGTGGAAAACATGCAGACTGCATAGTTTGCCAGCACTCACTTTCCCAGCAAAAGGAAAGAGGCAGATAGCTAAATGTCTGAGAAGAGAGGCTGGACTAAGGGGATATAGAAAAAGGAAATATTTTTCAGAAGTATTGTAACTACATTCACACATGTTTTGGTCACCAAACATATCTTAAACAGATTCCCTGATAAAGTCTAATCAGAGTTGGTCTATCCTAACTAACAGTTGTTAACTATTATAATTTTTTTAAGAGTCACATCATGAAACTAGCATGAGGGACACATTTTAAACACACAACCGTAAGTGCATATAGTTGTTCAAACACTCATACTAAATCTATATTTGAAGTCATGAAACTCACAATATTTGTTTCTAAAGGCAGCTTTGACCTATTTGGACAGACTGTACAACAGAGCTTAATTTATAAATGCATATCAGCAGATCATCACCATAAATTGAAAATTCACAAAACACACAAATAAATCATGAAGACCACACAGTTAAGCTAGCATTGGTAACTATTTCTTTTACATCAAATTATACAATGCACGAGGTAAATATTGCTCACATTATGGAGGGAGATTGTTTTATTTCTATTTTTTCCCAAAGAGATCAGATTTGTCCTGTGTGCACAATGAAGAAAACTCCAGTAACACTGAAATGACAAATGTTGTAAAATATACATCACTACCAGATAGAAATACACACGTTCTTCATAATCATTTTCCACAATTAAATAGGTAAGTAATTTAAATCTTGGGATTTAAGACCATTATAACAATCCATCAAGATTCTTATGGACGGTTTGATTTTCCTTTCCGTTGTCAGAATCTCCTTGAGGTGTGTACTGGACTTGGTATTCTTGGAGGATTTTAAATACATCGTGGTGTCCAAAGTGCAGTGCTTCATCCATAGGAGTGTTATTCCACCTAAACAAGTAGCACAGCATGGACAGGGTCATTAGGTAATTTCTGTACAAAGATGATCACATAGCATTCCTAGATTTTAAATGCATGTTAAATGGCCATTCACATTTAGCCATTTTAGCAATTTTACAAGTAAGAATAAATTATAGAAATGCAGAAAGGGACTCATAATTCAAAACTTGGTCTCAGAGACAAATTGGGGTATGAAGAGGAAGAGAAAAAGATCTATGAAAGGATCTTGTTTACACATCCAGTTGCTTATGGACAAACCTTTATTAGGGAAGTCTTGTGCTGACACGAATAGACTCTCTACAGTTGCTGAATTTTACCTTCACGAAAAGCCCAAAGTATCTCTTTTTAAATAAAATGTTCAAAAAAAAATTTCAGGTATATAACCTCTGTCACCTAGCCTTGGACAGAAAATTTGTGTTCCTGCCAATTCAAAATCACAATAATTCATAGAACTCTAGAAATAACCATGACCTCATTGGCGCTCAAACACACATTCGAGAAGCAATATTGGAGAAACAAGAGGAGTTGACACTTTCATCATCTCTGGTAAGGATGGGAAGCCGTGGACTCCATTGGAACACAACCAGAAGAATAACTCCCCTTTCCATGCTAAGAGTGTTTCTGGGGCTGTGCTGTTTAAAGTGATAAAGGTGAAGATTTGTCGATAAGAAGAAATGAAGACTTGCCAGCAGTGGTTAGACAGCTAAGCCTTTTGTAGGAGGCAGCACTATAGAACTCACAGCCCCAGTACATGACAGAGTCTGGTCATTAGTTCCCTAATACTCCACACACTATGAGGCCTGTCTTCCCGCCCTCTCTCTTTACTAATGGGTGGGAACTTCTACACAGCTGCTGGCCTCTTACTCCATCCGTTCATATGCCACTCTCACCACCTTTCTGGTTTTACTTCTTCCCATTTTTTTCTTTCTTTTCCATCTCTGTCCTTTTACCCACCAAACAGGGCACAATATGTAAATGAAAGGTATTTTAAATAGTCTCATTTTTTAATACCTTTGAATAAACTTTGGCAGCCTGTTTTTAATTTTTAAAATCAGGTAAGTAACACTTTACATGTATCTTGTGTTTCTCAAAAAAGCTGAATTAAGTGGCCTTGTATTTCTACATAGGCTTTCATTAGTTAGGGTGTCAATGCCACTGAACAAGGACTTATTAGTCATCTTCTATAGCATGTAATTGTTTTTTGGAAACACTGAAGTCAGCTGCAAGTTGCCTTATTTTTCTTTACTAACCACTCTTCCATGAAATAACGAAAAATATCAACTTTAAAGAATGCACTAATTTCACACAAACCTATATTGTGATTTAAGGTGACACTGATTGTATGAAGTAGAGCAAAACAGTTGCCTTGGGTCTGTAGGTTCCATTCTGGAATTGTCAAATACCAAGTTACCAAGTTAATGACATAGCTAACTTTTGCCTATCAGATAAGTACTTCTACTTCCACATTCCTAGAGGCCAATTTAGGGCAAGGAAAAAAATCAATACTTAAATATTTTTAGCATGTGTTAGTGTTTTAGTTGGGATTATAAACACAGGAGGAAAACACTTTTCAGTTTCTTGCTCTAGAAAGAGCTGGGATGGGCATTACATCTGGGGGTTAAAGGGAGGATTGTCACCCTAACATGAGGTTTTTTAATTGTGCCAACAAAGGTCATTTTAATCATGATGCTTTTTAACAACTATAGGAATAAAATTAGATAGCCAAAGTGTTACCATACTTAAAAAATTGCTAATGATTTTCAGACACATAACTTTTCTGCATTTCTCACAAGCTGAACCAACAAAACTGAAGCCCTAATTTAAAAAATAAGCCTTAATATACAGGAAGATCTAACAGCTAGAGGAGCAGTCACCTTGTTCCAAACTTTAATATAGCTCTCAGTCCTAAAATATCAAATCCAAAAACTCCTTATCATATACATTAAACATCTCCATAAAGCCTTTTTTCCTTCCATTCTTCTAAACCTTTATTCTCATCACCACTGACTCATCCACTCCAACATGTAATGTCCAAGGCTCTGAGTCTAGAATTAACTACATGTATGCGCATATATGTAGGCTGCATTCCTATCCCTGCCGTGACCACTCTGTGGACAGCATGTGCTGCAGGATGGATAGCAGTTTGTCACGTAAACCAGGAGGGAGGAGAGAAGCAGAATATGTCCCAAGCAGATGTCTTCCACCCTAGATACAATGCCCTTCTCTTTATTCTGGGCCTTCAATCTCGTCTCTTCCCCAAAGCACTGATTAAAATTCAACTTCCATAAAGCCTTCTAAAACTGATTCCACCCAAATGAATTTCAACTCCAATACATTTATTTTAGAGTTCTTTAAAAACAGTTTTCTTACAATTTTTTATACACTTCTGTAAATGTTTATCTTATCTACCCTGTGTAGTTAAAAGCCCTATGAGGACAAAATTCCTGTTTTCTCTTCCCAAACACAAAGAATTGTTTTCTTCACACAGTGTACTGACGGATAGTCAAACTAACCCAAAAATTTCTAAATAAGATATCATTCTTAGACAAGAAAGAGGATATGGGAGACATAATGATCTACCTAGCAGAAACACATTTTATAAGGTGCCTTTATAAAATACTATAACAGTTCAAGAATGTCTTAGTGGATTTAAATACACCATCACTTGACTATTATAGTCCTTCTAATAAAATACTGACTTAGGTTATAAGGTAAGGTAAGTGCTCACCTGTCCTTGGGGAAAGGATTTACTTTGCAGGCTTCCAGCAAAAATTTAACAACTTCAACGTGACCTACACCCCCCCCCAAAAAAGCAGATTTTAGTATTGAGTAGAAATTAAATCTGGAAAAAAATATATGAGCGGTTTGTGAATTACCCTCTGCAGCAGCTACATGTAGAGCTGTTCTAGAATCATAGTCCCGCTGTTCCATGTCCATAGCTGACAAAGCAAATCTGAAAATTCGTAAGCATAGCTATTCGTTATATATAAAAGAAATTTCATTCACACTTGTAACATTTACCCCATCAGTTCAGTCTAAGGCCCTATCAGAGATTCCATCCTTCACCAAGCTCAATAGGAACTAGGGACCCTGTTCAACCAGTGCACATGTGTCTTGGGTGAATGCCACTTCACCACTCTTCCTCAGCTTTGCTTTTTTTGGCTAAGATAAATGTCAGCCATCTCTTCACAGAATTAAGCCTCATTACATTATTGTTCAAAACTCAAGAATAATAGCACAACCATACCAAAGTTTATATCTCAGAAGGGTATGAAACTAATACCTGCAGTGAAGTTACATGTTTTCACTGAGACTGCCCTTCTTTAACATTTCACAGTCTATTAGTGCAGAACTAATCAGACTTAAGAACATGGATGGAAATTATGCATAGACATTTTTTGACTTTAAAAACCAGGTGCAGGCCTTCTCTTCCCGGTTCTTCCCGGAGTCGGGAAAAGCTGGGTTGAGAGGGCGGAAAAAAAAAAAAAAAAAACCAGGTGCAGCTCTATAAAAGAGACTTTATGTTAGTTACACAGGCCTTTCCATATATGGTCTTTCTAATCCTGGTGATCTGCAGGACGCCAGTTACCCCTATTTGCCTCCCCACCTCCGTCACACACGCCCCAAAGATGGGGAGTGGAAGGTAGGTGGGGAGTGAGTGTCACTGTCCAATTCCAGTAAGCCACTAGTACCAATTAGCCAGATTCGTTTAACAGTTACCACCTGGGAAAATAGATCTGGGCTTGTATAAGAGGTAGAAAAGGACAAGATTGGACAGTAAGCCTAAGGCACTGGATGTGGGAATTTAATATAAATTTTGTTTGGGTCATTTTCATTAAAGGAAAATGGAAGTGAGACCTTAGCCTTCCAATGGCTACTTGCCCAGAAGCAACTTCGTAAACATCAGTAAGCCACATGCTAGTCCACCCTGTAAACATACCTTCGAAGTGCAGACACATCTCCAGTATATGCAGCAAATAAAAGATTTATGACTGACTTTACCTGTGAAGAAAAGAAAGTTTAGGCATCCACAGGGGGAAATAAACACAATGTCCAACTGTCGCCAGTAAGCGATTTCCATGTGCTTTGAACACTTCAGCTGGATCACAAGCAAAATGTTATCTTGAGTATACTTCTATAGCCAAAAGAATGCATGTGTGTGGTATTTTTCTTTAACAGAGGATTGTGAGGGAAAATTCCATAATGCAGTTAAGATACGTGAGGGAAGGAATGGAAAAATATCAAACTGGCACAAAGGAATGGAAGCCTGTGGCCTATGGAACTTGCATAGTTGGAAGTGAAAATAGTTAGAACCATTCCCATTTAGTATGTGTCAGTACTACAGGCCAGATTGTATACTGAAAAAACTCAAGTCACATCATTATTAAAAACTAAATCATGCTATATAAATGTCTAGTCCCTGCCAGCAATCACTGTCCTCATCAATCACTGGCTTCTTTGTGAACCTTAAGAGACAACATTCAGTGTTAATTACCATCTTCCACTTAAGAATAGGGCGGTCCTTCACTGGAAGGTAGTCTTCAGTTCACTGGCCAGCAGTACAAATTGGGTCATTGTCAGAGCCTATGACACTGCCTCTCCTAAAAAGGTGGGTTAAACTCCCCAAATATTAAATCGTCACTATTGAGTGCTTCAGGACTTCAACAAAATGTATCTACTTTTGACGGTTATCTACCTTGTTCTTATAGTTAAAAGGAAAAGGCTAGTTATCCTAAAGACAGTGATTGATTTTGGTCTGCTCTCATAAAGACTTTATGCATTCCTATTTATGACAAACTAATCTATAGATCATTGAATCTTTGTAAATTCAATAAATTCTCCTTCATAAATTCCCAATTTTGTCTTACACTTTACAACTTCAAAATTCATATTGATGACCTAACTGATACTGGACTCAATGGCAGAAAACAGAAGTTTAACTGGAGGGATGGAAAGTAACCCAGCTCTCCACCAACAACGCTGCGGCTCTGAAGCTGTGCTTCCAAATCTTAACCTGGACATTCTTCCTTTCCACTGTGGTTTCCTTTTCCCATAACCTATGAACTTATAAAACAAACTGGAAGTGACCATTGCTAGACTTCTCTAATTCAGCATTTTCAAAGTGTGGTTCATAGAAACTAGTCCATAGCTGCTTCATGAAAATAAGGGTCCTGTCAGGTGTGTGTTCTTAAGGTTTTAAATCCCCTTAGAGATTCATGAGCACATGACAGGCTTTGTAAAGTTTAACAGTGCAGGAATCTAACTAGCTGACTACTAACCACTACTTACTGTTTGTGTTGATATCACTCCAAAAAGCCTTACTCTTACTCCTTCAGTCCATTAGCTTCCCCTCCAACCTGGACCCTGTAGTCAACAGGTACTCCAGTAGTCCAGAACAGTTTTCTCAATAAGGGTGGGAGAAAGAGCTAAAAAAGCTTCAAAGTTCTAAAATGTGTTTTTAGAACATTTTAGCAATGTTCTAAAAGCGCACATAAGCATCACTCTTCCCATATCTAGTTGCCCTGCTGCTATACCTCAGTTTGATACATTTTAGGGAAAAGAGATAAAAACGTGCATAGCTTTTTTTTTAATAGTCTCCAGGTGACTTGGATATGCACTCTTCTGGGTTATGAACCACTATTCCAGGTGCCTTTAACTTCTTTTTTATTAGGATTAATTCTGAATCCCCAGTACTCTTTGTGCTCGTGGGCCACAGAGCACTGGCCATTACAGATTACTCTCCGTACTCCCAACTGTGCTCTCATCACTGCTTGGCAATTTTTCTTCTTATCGATTCCCTCCATACTTTCTTCAGGTCTTTAACACCAATGGTGACCTCATAAAAAAGACAGATGATCCTGACTACAACTTTAGTGAAAGGATTAAAAAAACTGTTTTCATCTCTCAAAGCAAAAAGCGTCCTCATTTCTGAGACTCACTTCTTCACCTATTCCTTCCAACACATCCTCCAGATTCTCTAACCTTGCTCCCTCACTTAACCTCTTTGTCTCTACCATCTTAAACTTCTCACTCCTTCACTGGTTCCTTTATCTCTGCCTTAATACAGACACGGCTCCATCCTATTTTGAAAAATCAACACTTGGCACTACTGTTCCCCCCTTTCAGTGCACATTTTTGAAAGTATATTTTTAATTCCCTAAAAATTACCTTCACACTCACTGTTACCTCTAAACCGTACTCCCCAAAGCTCCAGCAGCTTCCTGAGCCCTGCCTCCCTCTCATCCCCCAGCACTCCCCACCTTCTCATGGCTTGTCTGCCATGATGCTTCATCACCCTGATCTTCCTCCTGTCTGCTGCTTTGCAGATTCATTGTCCACTTTCCACTGCCTAATAATACTTCAAAGGCCTTCTCATCCTTCTTGTTTTTCCATGTAATGTCCCTCAAAGGTTTCATATGTTCTTCTGGACAGAATGACTTCCCAACCTACAACTTTAAATCTTTGTTCCCAAGCTGTAATCCTACAGCTCCACTTGATTGCCATGCTATCATTTCAAACTCAAAAACAGCAGTGGTCCTGGTTCCCCACTCTGCGCCAGTAGTCCATACCCAACTGCCTACCTGACATTGCCTCCAGGACGTTTAACAGGCACCTCACACTTAGGTCCAAAATAGAACTTGCTTTGCTCTGCCTTCTACCGCAGTGGGCTCCTCTTCCAGTACCCCCATTTGGTGATGACACTACAATTTATCCACTTGCTCAGGCCAAAAAACTCTCACAACATCCACTGCTGGTGTGTTTGCTTGTACAGATTGAGTCCTTCACAAGAATGCCTGGCCACAGGGCCAGCCTGGGTTACCCAGCCCATACTAGGTGTCCCAGCACTTGGGTACATCTGCTGGTGGGAAAGGGGCCTTCTTCACCCAAAGGTGCTGAGGAGATCTGCTTCCTGCCCAGAGACAGATTTAACTTTTTCTAATTCATACAAATCCACTGTATAGTCTCTGGGGGGTAGTCCTTGATTCTATTATTTTTCTCAAAACTCACACCTACCTCACCAACTAATCCTCTTTGATTTACTTCCAAAGTATGTTTGGAATCCCACCACTTCTCACCACCTATATCACTACTGCCCTAGGCCTCATCTGAGGTACCACCTTGTCTCACATGGAGGACTGATAGCCTGCTCTTACTTCTGCCGCCTTTCCATAACATCTAGAGTCAAATTAAACTATCATAGCTTTCAGGATCCTAAGTGCTCTACTCCCTGGTTGTGTTGCACATCTCATTCCCTACCACACTTGCCCCTGCAGCTCTACTCCAGCCAGGTCTTCCTGTGGTCTCAGGGTCGCAGATTCCCACTGGCTGCTGGGAATCCTCTTTCCCCAGGCAGTGAGGAGGCTCCCTCCCTCCCTCCCTTCCAGGTCTCTACTCAAATGTTACTCAAAGATTCTATTGTGACACTCTCCTTTCTTCACTCCTTATTCCTTGCTTTGCTTTCCTCTTCAGGGCAACTGTCATTACCTGACTTTATTTATATATATATATATGTATGTGTGTGTGTTTATATATATATATATATGTGTGTGTGTGTGTTATACATATATATTTTAACTTGTTTCTTGTCTCTTTCATTAAATGTGAGTAGTTATCACTTTTCTTTCTGTTCCCCACTGTAACCCCAGTGCCTACCACATGTTAGGTGCTCATTAAATATTTATTGACAGACTAAATGAAATATTGTCCCCCATAACATCAAATATTCAATTTCTTACCACTACCTGGGCATTAAATTATAATCATTATCAATTCCTCCAACTCCCTTAACTTTTGCATCTTCAAATATCATCACCAGATTTATTCAGTTCTTCTAACTGGTGGCCCTCTGCTTCTAGTCTTTCTTCCATGCTCCAAAACCTTTCCTCATACTTCTAATCATCTTCTCCAAACAGTGCTCTTTAATCACGAAAGGTTTCTAAACAGGGGAGTGTCAACAAACTCCAAAATCATTCCTGATAGAATTTAAACTTTTTGGCCTTGCATTCAAGGTTCAGTCTGGGTAACATACTTTTCTCTCTCAACCTTGATGGAGCAAAATTGGTCTCGTTTATTGCCCTTGTTTTTTTCTTGGAGTCCATGCTCTTCTCTCTAAGAACACCCAGATTCCTAATCAAATCCTTCCCTTTCCTCAAGGGCTAGCTTGAAAGCCCCTTCCCTGCTGCCACACTTCCCCAGGCCCTCCCCTCCCAGCATTCTTTATCCATGTAGCTGGTTGCCAACATGACCAAACGGTATATTTGTATATCTCATCTCCCTCACTACTTAAGAAAAATCCAGATTCCAGTACACATACCATTAATATATTCATTACCTATAATTCTTATTCTTTAAAATACATTAGTCCTTCTAAGCAATAAATTCTAAGCTGTTTCAATGACTGTATGAATAATCTACACTCCTTAAAATTCTGAATTCAGACTTAGTTTGAAGAGATTTTATTATAGTTTGTATCACTTATTCAATATTTCAAAAGTTCTAAAATAAAATTTCTTTTTAATAAGAACCAAGAAAGATTGATTTTAGAATATAATAGGTTTATTCAGAATATGCTAACACTTTATTCACAAATATATTTCAGCTCAGAGATAAAAATTAGAATAAATCAGAAAATAATGTACAAAGGCTTTGTCCTTTGTGACTGATCTGAGAGGGAAAACATTAGCTTAGCTTAACAAAAATTACTAATGACTATCATGGAAGTATGATATTCTTCCCATGAAAACAAAAGGCTAGCTGCAGAGCTCAATTTAGTCCAAGCCAGAAGACAGGAGCTTGATCACATAGTGAGTGTCATCCCCTCCAAGACAGAAAAGCACTAGGAGGCAGCACATGCACAGGCATGGTATAAAAGTAAAACCACAAATGCAAATAGCCACCTATATTTTCAAAGTTGGCACAAAACATGAAATGAGGTATGAGTAGAAAGAAAATGAAACTGGTTTAACAGTTTTGAGACAACAGATGAAAAGTTATTTCATTTA